CTTGGTCCCCACCCCTAAGGCTAGCCACAGCCCACCCAAATTAATTATCTAATAACAATCTTCCACATAAGCATGAAGCATTATTCATAATAACGTAGGATTTTGTGAACCCACTGCAGCACACCTAATTACCCTCATTTTAATAATTGTTTTCAGAAAGTCTAAGCTGTCTAAGTTAGATGTATAATAGAAACTATAATCATCCATCAAATCATGACTGGGGAAGAGGCCTGCAAAATCAAAGCAAACCAAGTACAGGATGGACAAAAATAGGCTTACGGTTTTAATACAAATAACTAATACAATAATTTATAAATAATAACACTATAAGAATAAACTCTTGTGTTTACAACTATAATCACAACTATAAATCTATTTTTGTCCACTTCTGAATAGCTTTTATGATGTTTGAGGTTGATATTAATTAGGGAGGGGTAAAGGCTTTTTAGGAAAGGAATACAGATTTAAATATGAATGTGAATATTTATTAAGAATTAAAAATTATAAAACATTACAAATTTCACATAATAAATTAGAAGCCCGGTGTGCAAAATTTGTGCATGTGGGGGAGGGTCCCTCAGCACAGCATACACCTTCTCCAAACTGGGACCCCTCAAGTGATGTCCAACTCTACATTTAGGCCTGTTCCGCCTGCTGGTTTAGGCCTGATCCCACCGGGCAGTTGATATCCCTCTCACAATCCAGGACTGCTGGCTCCCAACTGCTCACCTGCCTGCCTTCCTGGTTGCTTCTGCATGTCAACCTGATAACCCCCTAACCACTCCCCTGCCAGCCTGATTGCCCCTAACTGCCCTCCCCTGCAGGACTGATCACCCCTAAATGCCCTCCCCTTCAGACCTGGTCCCTTTCAACAGCCCTCCCTTGCTGGCTATCTTGCAGAGGCCATCTTTTGTCCATATGGGGGCAGCCATATTTGACCACATGGGGGCAGCCATCTTGTGTGTTGGAGTGATGGTCAGTTTTCATATTACGCTTTTATTAGATAGGATAGAGGCCTGGTGCAAGGGTGGGGGCCATCTAGTTTACCCTGAAGGGTATCCTGGATCAGGGTGGGGGTTCCATTGGGGCATGGGGTGGCCTGGGCAAGGGACCTGTGGTGGTTTGCAGGCCAGCCATGCCCCCCGAGTGATCCAAATGAAGGCCCTAGTATCTGGGATTTATTTATCTTCTGTAATTGAAACTTTGTAGTCTTGAGCAGAGGCCAAGACAGGCCAGGGCTACAGAAGCTTGGCTTCCTCCATTATGGGGGAAGCCCAAGCCTCCCACTTACTCTGTGGTGCAGCCATCTTGGTTGGGGTAATTTGCATACTTATTTCTGATTGGCTGGTGGGTGTGGCTTGTGGGTGTAACAGAGTGATGGTTAACTTGCATGTTACTCTTTTATTAGAATAACAAACATTTCTAAATCTAAAATATTATAATATTTTAATAAAGTGCTGATCATAATCTTTTGTGTTGCTCTGTAACACAATACCATACACTGGGTGGCTTATAAACAACAGAAATTTTTTTCTCACAATTCTAAAGTCTGGGAAGTTCAAGGTCTTAATGCCAGCATGGCCAAATGTTGATGAGAGCCCTTTACCTTATTCATAGCCAGCAGCTTTACATGGTAGAAGGGGTTAGGGAGCTCTGTGGGGTCTCTTTCATAAAAATACTAAGCCTTGCCAGGCCAGTGTAGTTCAGTGGTTGACCATGGACCTATGAACCAGGAGGTCACAGTTCAGTTTCTGGCCAGGGCACATGCTCTGGTTGTGGGCTTGACCCCAATAGGGGGTGTGCAGGAGACAGCTGATCAATGATTCTTTCTTATCATTGATGTTATCTCTCTCTCCTTCTCTTTTTCTCTCTGAAATCAATAAAAAAAAATTTTTAGAAAAAGAATACTAAGCCTTTCATGAGGACTCCACCCTCCTGACCAAATCACCTCCCAAAGGCCCCATCTCTTAATACCATCACACTGGGCCTTAAAATTTCAACATGAATTTTGGGGGTACACAAATATTCAGATCATGGCAGTGCCTGACACATCTCTTACTTACTTTTTTTAAGTATCCTTTTTGCTTGCATACTCTTTAATAACTTCTTTGTACAATAATGATTTCAATATATCAATTTAATAGGAAGAAAAGGAATATGGTTTTGTATTCCCCTAATATGTCAATAAAAATTATTGACATTTAGTTGTGTAAAACATATTACTTTAGTCACAGACATAACTGTGGTTGTAGTGCAACAGATTTGTGACTGACAAAGATATGCTATTTTGTGTGATTTCTATCAAAGAAACAAAAAAATTATATTTGCTGAATTATGAAGTATATTCCTGATAAGTGAGAACTTTCATTTTGACCAGGTGTTTATGAAAACCAAATCCTTTGCTGACAGCTTTCTGCAAACTAGCTTTCATCTTCATTGATTCTGAGCTTTGAGATCACATCATCATTCAACTTCTGGCCCTGCATTTTGTGTGTCAAGACCAAGGTGAGCTGACTTAGTTCTGCAGGTGTTGCTCTTGCTTTGAGACGGCTAACTGTTACTTAATTGTACACAAAAGTGACTGTAAACATCATAGATATATAATCTATTTAAACACACACCAAACGGGTCCCCTCTTCCACTTCCTTTTAGCTAGTTCCCCAAAAATGCCTACAAAGACTTCAGAAATACCCAACACAACAGGAAATGTGAAAGAAGAAAGTCTGAATGGAAAGAAACAGCCATATATACCAATTATAATTAAAACTAGAGGCCTTGTGCATAAAAATTTATGCACTTGGGGGTGGTGGGAATCCCTTAGCCCGGCCTGCACCTTCTCACAGTCCAGGATCCCTTGAGGGATGTCCACCTACCAACTTGGGCCCACTTTCTGACATCCTTAGCATTGCCTTGTACCTGTCAGCCCAGCTTCTGGCTGAGTGGCTCTCCCACTGTGAGAGCTCACTGACCACCAGAGGGCAGCTCCTGCATTGAGCCCTGATGGTCAGTGCACATCATAGCAAGTGGTCGTTCCCCCCTTTAGGGTCAATTTGCATATTAGCCTTTTATTATATAGGATAATTTCTAGAAATTTATGCAATTTAATTATTTTGAAGCTATTGGATATCAATAGTTATTTCAATGATAATTAATTCCCCAAAGATACTTCTACAGTGGAACTAGAAGGGAAACATGAGTTCAAAGAACATAGGAACAATTTCTGACTATTTTAGAAAATCTTGTATTTTAAGTGGATAACAATGATATCAAACCAGAATGGTATTTGGGTTATCTTTTTTACTTTTGAAAGTGCTATTAAAAAGTTTAACTTTAAAATGCCATACTTAAAATATTTTAAAAACACATCCTTTTACTTTTAAAATTTCTCGTGGGAATTTTTAGATGTTAATATAAAATGTTTGAGAGGGCATATGATTTTTCAAATGCACTATAGGCTGTATATGAACAAAATTGCCTATAACCAGTGCCCTAGATTCTCTAAGCTTTTTGCCCCTTCTCAACAATTCATCAGTAATCTGGCAACCTGGATGACGCTAGTTTCCATATAAATTTCACAGAACCATGAGTTAATACTTTATGCTCTTTATTAGTGGGACTAAAATATTAGTGGGACTAAAATTTTAGTGGGATAAAATTATCCTCCCTTTAAAAAACATTCTGAATTTATTTTGTTGTGTCAATAAAGAACCCTGTGGGCTATGCACCTCTTACTGTACAACTCAGGGAAGTTTATTCGTCATTATACACAGGTATGATCTGTAACACATCACTATTTCATTTTCTATCAGAAGTCCCCAAATTCAGGGTCAAGTTTATCTACTGAATTTAAATAGTTTCTCTTAGAGTAGGTTTCCTACCACCTAATTATTCCTTGGCCACCTCAGTTGTTGCTTGCCTTGAGCCTACTTTACTTATCTTAAAGATTTTCTGATTTTATTGTATTTTTGACTGAGTGGATTACTTTCTTTCTTTGACCTTTAACTCACTCACTTATTAAACATATACATAATGCACAAACTAGCTTGGGTAAATTTGGTTTAAGCAAATCATCAACCTGAAACAAATAGAATTGAAATATACTGGTTAGATGATGTTATTATTGACAACTAGATATAGTCATAAAAGTATCAAATTAATAGTATACTAGTAGTTATTAAATAAGAATGTACATGACTAAACTATTACATTTTCCTATTTTGACTGATAATTCTAATAATTATTTTTGTTTTGTGACCATAAGAATAGGAATTAGAATTAAGACTCATGGGAAAAATTACAGATGTTTTTAAAAAGGAAACAGTTCCCACCTAAACACATATTATGGGTTAAAAATATCAATAATAATAGTTGGTCAGAATCACACTTAGCAGCCCAGTCTTAGTAAACATACAAAAGAAATCATCCTGAAAGTAACTACATTATAAAACAGCAAGTGGTATTCAGCTCTGAAATACTTGGCAGAGCTACTTCAAGTAATTAAATATAATCAATGTTATCTTTATAAAACATTACAGAGAGACTCTTTCAATTTAAGAAATGATTACATTTGTGATAAGCCCTCTTTAAAGTAATCTATTTCACATAATAAATAGATTCTCTTTATTTAAATTATTCATTTAAATATGTACTTGAGAGAGAAAAAGAATCCACTCAGTGAACTCTATTGAAAATTTAATATAGGAAGAAATTAAGTTGAGGGACTATTCTTGTGACATAGCAGTAATGATTCCACATAGAAATTACAGTCCACACCTTTAGATTACTTGAAAAGTTCAATTAAGTCTTATTGATTCTTTAAAAACATAACAATAACAAAAACAATAATAAAACACCACATTAGATACTCTAATATACTATGATTATGGCAAAGTATAAGTCAAAAATCTTAAATTTTCTTACAGAAGATTGAAATTTATTTGTATCCTAAGTAACTCTTAGACCAGTGTGTAAACTATTTTAGGCAGGTCAAGGCATTTCTTCAGAAATCACACAATGCTTATGAAGAGGTTCTTCTTCAAAAGTATAAATATTCCATATGCTCTTTTGACATTGGCAAAAAATCCACTATAAAAATTTTTATGCAAAAATTATTTAAAATTAAATTGTAAAGAGTCACATATTTACTTCTGATGACAGAAAAAACAAAACCAACTACTGAAGAAGAGGAAAGGAAGAAAAACATGCTAGGCAGCCAAAACTGTTATTATGAGAGAGACCAGAAAGCACATGAGAATCATCAAAAAACTCACCAAAGTGGCTAGAATAGTAGGATTGTATATAATAGACCTGTAACATTACTAAGAAATGGTTGGGGAAGGGTGGGATGCAGTTATAGGGTCTGCTCTGCTAAGGAGGATAAATCAAAATAAAATCAACTAGACCAGGCGATACCGAAATTTTCTGTTTGGGTCTGAGTTCATTCTCTAGAGAAATCAAAGAATGAGTTCATGGACAAAGATGAGCGAAAGCAAAGTTTTATTACGGAAAAGCTCCCTGTTGCAGGGAGGGGACCCAAGAAGGTTGTTGGGGCAGTTTCTTTGTCTAGGGTAGGGGTGTCGAACTCAATCAGAGAAGGGGCTAAAATCTAAAATCCAGCCTAAATCGCGGGCCGAATGGTTTACTGAACAGTCATAAACTGTCATAGTGATGACAGCGAGGTGCGGGCCACATTGCAAGGCCTGGCGGGACGGATTTGGCCCGCAGGCCTTGTGTTTGACACATGTGGTCTAGGGGTTAATAAGTGCCCTACTAACTTCCTATTTGGTTGGTTGGAAAAGTTTGGCCCTAGCAACATACATACATTTTAAACTTCAGAATTCCCACTCATTTTCCCTGCCCTGTGTGTTCAGGGCCCTTTGTTCTTGTGATTTAATCAGCAGAGCCTCCAAGGGCCTAAAGTTTTCCTAGAAATTTAAGAAGTGCTATACCCTCATTCTTTCAAATGCTCCTATCTTTATCTTTATCTAGAAAGAAGTCCAAATGGTTTGTGAGATGTGTGGAGTTCCATGGATCCTCCAGAGAGGTCCAATAGATTTAATGACATCTAGGACATCCTTGGAATTCTCTGGATGCTGGCCAACTTAGAAATGTGATCTAGATATCCTTAATGCTTCTTAACTGTGCTAAAGTAGTGGTTCTCAAAGTGTGTACCTCAACCAACAGCATCAGCAACACTTGGGAATTTATTAGAAGTATAAATTCTCAGGTCCTCATCCCCAAGATTATGGAAGCAGAAACGCTGGGGACCGAGCTCAGTAATTTAACAAACCCTCCCAGTAATTCCGACACAGCTCTAGTTTGAGAAATACTTATCCAAAGCCAACTGGAAATGAAGTTCACTAGCCAGACTCTTGAAGCACCCTTTATGATGGCTCTCATTATTGATCTGTAAGAAGAAAATGGAGTTTTTATTCAGAATAACTATCAGATAATTCACACTCAAGTTCATGAAGAGTTAGCATGGCTTTAGTGTAAATTATACGGTTAGATAGTCATTTATTCCATAAACAAATAGACTGTATAATTATATAGGCACAAAATGTTTTGGTGGGTTTTTTTTCTTGTTCTATATGAATGGACTGTTGCTATTATCAAAGTTAATGGTTGTAATACATTCTGATCGCCATAATTGCATTTCATGAAAAACACAGCTTGTATGGTAATGCTCAAATAATCAATATAATGTGACATCCTATTGGAATCAGGGAAGGAAGGGAGAGAGGGATTACAAAAGAGGACAAGAAAACTTGGGAGTAATGGATATGTTCATTAATTCATAATTCAGACAAGCAGTATGAGGAATTGTGGTTGTACAGACCTTCACTAGCTTATGGTCTAGCAAGGGAGGCTCACAAGTAAACAGGAAATTTCCATGTGATGTGAAAAATGTACATAAATATTAAGCACAAGATGCTATGCCAACACATAGGACATCTTACCCGGTAATTAAGCGTTTTATGATAAGTAGGTGGAGTGAGGCTTTCCTGAGGCCATGGCTCCTGAACAAATAGGATGAGTAGAATATAGTGAAGGGAAGAGTGTCCCAGGCAATAGGTTGGGTGCAGAGAAAAGAGGCTTGGAGAGGGAATCTGGTGAATGTAGACAGAGAGGCTACAGTGAATAATGTAGGAGCCAGATTGAATAGAAAGTGAAGAGGCAGACACAAGGGGATAGAACATTTTCCCAGTCAATTTGGCTGTGAAGTGAAAGACAGGGCAAGAGGCAGAGCAAGATGGGTGTGTGTGTTAGTGGGAGTGTTTGGGTTATTATGTGTGTGTGTTTCTAAGATAAGAGAGACTCAAGTTCAAATGCTGAAGGGAAGAAGCCAGAGTCAGTGGTGTGGAAGAAGAGCAATGGAGCAAGATGCCTAATGTGGGAGAGGCTAAGAAGTGGAATGAGGTGAAAGCCTTTATTAGCCTCATTGTCTGGGATTCCAAGGAAGAAGCAAAGATGGGTGTGGTGGATAGGGTGGTAGGAAGTTACAGATTTTGATTTTAAAGTCGGTGAGGGAACAAAAAAGAGTATGAATAATATTTGAAATATCCTATATAATAAAACCTAATATGCTAAGTGTCTAGTCATCCATTCAACCAATCAAAATGTAACATGCGCCGAAACCAGTTTGGCTCAGTGGATAGAGCGTCGGACTGTGGACTGAAGGGTCCTGGGTTCGATTCTGGTCAAGGGCATGTACCTTGGTTGCAGGCACATCCCAAGTGGGGGGGGGGGGGGGAGAGGGTGCAAGAGGCAGCTGGTCCATGTTTCTCTCTCATCAACGTTTCTAGCTCTCTATCCTTCTCAATTCCTCTCTGTATAAAATCAATAAAAATATATTTTAAAAAATATATTTTTTTAAAGTAACACGCTAATGATATGCTAAGGCCTCTCAACCTGTCGCTATGATGTGCACTGACCAGGGGGCAGATACTTTAACTGAGGTTAGTTTGCTTCTGGGGTCTGGCCAGTCAGGACTGAGTAAGATGGGCCGGACATGCCCTGAAGCCTTCCCACAGTCCCTCCCCAACTGGCCAACCTCTTGCATCCCTACCCCACCCCAATCGTGGGTAGGTGTATGGGAGGTAATCAAAGACCACCTATATATATAAAACCCTAACATGCACATAGACTGAACGGATGAAAAACTGAACAACTGATCACTCTGATGTGCGCTAACCACCAGCAGGCGCGTGTGGAACATAGTGGGTGTGGGCAGCAGGCAGCAGAGCACAAACATGATGGGCATCAGCTGTGGCGGGATGGTAGAGCAGGTGAGCAGGGCATCAAAACAAGGCAGTGCACCAGTCATTATCATCAGGGTGAGCCTCTGTTGGTTACTGAAAATTCTTTGCTCCCACTCACTGCAATCTCGCTTGGCGCTTGCACCTGCTGCCAGCACTGGCCCCACTTGCACCCGCAGCTGGTGCTGGAGCCACCACTTGCACCCACTGCTGGCAGATCGCCTGGCATGAGTGGTGGTGGCGAGAGCGGGGCTGCCGGCAGAGAGGGGACCAAGGGCCGGTTGGTTGGTTTTATTCTTACTGTCCCCACTTCAAATAGGCACTTTCAGCATTTTTATTTCTTTATTTGGCCTCCACACCTCCTATGCTCAGAGGATTCTTTCTGTCTGGAACACCCTTCCTGTCCCCTAGATCCATTCACACTTTTTGGCATCCTTTCAGATCCTACTCAGATGCTATCTCCCTAACAAAGTTTTCCTTTACCACCCCATCCTGGAGGATTGCTCCATACCTTTCACTTCCAGAGCAGTTATTAACTGAAGAATTCATTTAGTATCTAATCACCTGTGGCCCTGTGACATCTCTCTTCAAGGATTGTGCTGAACTCTTATTTATACCTGCTGAGTTGTACACTTTTGTGTGTGTGTAGGGGGCTGGGGGGAAGGGGTGTGCAGGGGAGGGAGGTTCTATGGAAAGTAACCTCATAAGGTGATCTGATCATAAATTCCTAACTGGGCAGATCATTGTAGGTAGTCAAACCCCAAGCAGGTAACTTTCAGTGAAAGGTGTACCTTTGCCTTAAGCAAGTTCTATCCATTGTTCCTATGCATTCAGGTTAACAAGCCTTTAAAATAAACCTAACCACTCCCAAGAAAGTACACAATCTTGTTAACTGTCCTGGAACCCAATCCTTGATTTTTCCCACCTCCGTGTAATCTTCCTTATGTTCCATTCTTAACCTCAAACACATAAAAGAAGTTGCAAAACTGTTATTCTCCGGAGCATTTGAAATCTTGCTTCCCAGCATATGTCTTCAGTTAGACTCAAATAAAATATTCTCTACAGGTTTGAACAGTTCTTCTGTCAGCAATTGTGTGTGTGTGTGTGTGTGTGTGTGTGTGTGTGTGTGTGTATGTGTGATGGTGCTTTGCTATCTCTCTAGCTTCCCTGTAGGCTTCTTGAGGGCTGGAGCAGGTTTTGTTTTCCTTGGAGCCCCCGTATTACCTGACATAGACCCTTTCACAGAGAAGGTGTTCAGATCATACACATTGATATGCTCTAATTCATTAATCATTAATATTTCATGCCAATACCCAGAGGATAGTTCTGTTTACCTTTGAATGATTATTAACATAAGGACAGTACTGTGATATTTTTTCTTACCATAAAGGTGTTGCGTACTCTCCCTTTTCCATTCATAGATGCTTCCATGAACTGTTGGGTTCTCTGTCAAGCAATTCAATCTTAATTTTCCAGCAGAGGCCAGAGAGCTTGGTGGTTTGATTCAGCTCCTAGAATCAAATGTCCTTGTTTGACAATGATCTCTGCCCCTTGCTAAAAGGGTGAGTCTGAACAAGTTACTTACCGTATTTTTCGGACCATAAGATGCTCCGGACCATAAGACGCACCAGTTTTTAGAGAAGGGAAATGAAGAAAAAAAGATTCTGAAACAAATAGTTCCTAAAATATTTTATGTGCATTAAAACCCAACATCACAGTCATAAACACATGTAATCAACCCTGTAAAGTAAACAGCAGCATTTAGAACCATTTTAGAGCCGGGCAAGCACACAGAGACCACACAGAGCCGGGCAAGTAAAAAAACTTTTTTTTTAAAGTATATGTGTAGGCTATATTTGGACCATAAGACGCAGGGACTTTTCCCCCCCACTTCTGGGGGGAAAAAAGTGCGTCTTATGGTCCGAAAAATACGGTACCTTTTCCATAACACATTTTCCTCATCTGCAAAATGGGGGTTATAATATCATGTTCCTCATTCGTTTGTTGTGGGGATTAAATGGATTATACCTTGTGACACCCTTAGGTCAGCATTTGCTGCATGATAAAACCCTTAGGACTTGCTAGCTGTTATTCTGGGTGACTAGAAATTTCCAGATGTAAAGCATGAGGTTCTCATACCTCTTTTCACCCTACTTTTACCACTAAGGAACAGAGAGCAGATGGTGAAGCTATAATAGAGTGTCTCGTCTCCACCTCCAGAGACCAGGCTGCAGTCTAAACTCTGCCACTTAGTTCATGTGTAATTTTAGGCAAGACGCTCAGCCTCTTCGGGGTGCTGCAGAGATCAGGGAGCAGACATCTGTGAAAGCTCTTTGTAAACAGCAGGCTTGTTTTACCCAAAGCAAGAACTGCGCTTGAGGACAGGAAGCAAATTTAATTGGTTCTGTTTTACAAATCTTACCCTTAGAAAATTCCCTTCAGGAAAAGAGTAAGTCTTTGTCTCACTTTGACTGGATTATCCTGATTATTCTATGTGGCTTCATTTTTCTTTTCCTTTCATAAAACAAACAAACAAAAAAACCTACTGGTGCTGTGGGAAGTCTTCCAGAGCCCACAGTATATACTTCCTTTTCTCCTTAGTAAATCTGGTTCGTCAACTAAACAACCATAGTCATTCACATCTTTGTGGTTTAAAATCTGTGGCTGTGCTTTGACAAAGGAGCTCTGTAGGGGATGGTAATGCGATTAGGATGGTAACTGGCTGGGGCAGTGGGAATACCCAAACCAGGCAACGCCCCCTACAGGGGTCCTGAGAGACTTGTGTCAGAGGCAGGTTAAGAGCAAGGTCTTGGCTTGAGTTGTCTGGGTTTGACTCCCAGCTCTACTATTTGTTTTCTGGGCTCCCTTGCAAATTATTTACACTTTGAATGCCTCTGATTCCACATCTGTAAAATGGAAACAACTATAGTACCTACCTTATAGGGTTACTGGGCAATCAAATGAGCTGATATATGTAAAGTGCTTATACACTGAGTGGCCAGATTATTATGATCTCTGAATGCATAATAATCTGGCCACTCAGTGTGTGTGTGTGTGTGTGTGTGTGTATTAGAGACCCGGTACATGAATTCGTGCATGGGTGGAGTCCAGCCAACCTGGCCAGGGGAAGGGGACATGGGTGGTTGACTGGCCTGCCTGCTTGGTCTAACTCTTGGTCAAGGAGACAATTTGCATATTAGCATTTTATTATATAGGATTTACACTGAGTGGCCAGATTATTATGCATTCAGAGATCATAATAATCTGGCCACTCAGTATATATAGCATAGTGAGTGCTAAATAAGTATTCACTATTAATATATGCACAGAGTCAGTGGCAGCAAAGGTATGTCTTTTGTTACTAGATAAGCTTCCCAAAGCATCCCAATGCACCCCTGGTAAGCTGTGCTGTGACAAATGGAGGACTGATTTTGTCTGGACTGGAAGTTTAGAAGTAATTCAGGCCTAATAGGTTTTTCTTCCTCTTTCCCCTTTTCTGTTAGGCCACAGCCAAGGCCAGGAAAAATGGATCCAAACACAACAATTGTGTAGAAAAAGATAGAGTCCCAGTGCTAGTCGGGCCTGTCACCTTGGCCTTTCCAGTGCTGGAGGAGTCTTTCACAAATATGTCCCCTGGCTTATTCTTCTCAACTGACAGAAGAGAGGGAGGGGGAGGAGAGAGAAGGGAAGAGGGAAAGAGAGAAGTAATTTAGAGAGACTGGGCTTCTCTCTTGAGTGGGAGACAACCCTTGGTTCCATCTTTTCTCTTCCACCTCTCAGAAAGAAATGTAGTGGCCAGAGAGAGATGCCTGGACCCTCCACAAAGTTTATCTTGCCATCTCAAGTTGGAACTGTCTTATTTCGTGAATTAGATGCAAGGAAGAGAATCCAAAGAATGAAAGGTCAGATAGAATCAAGTGGATGGGGCCTTCTCCCTGAAATAGCAGGCCCCTTGCTCCTTCTCTCCTCCCTAACCTCCTAAAAGAAAGTGAATTCTGAGAGCCCAAAGAAGGGGACTTCACCTGCACAACTCCAGGGGCAAAGCCAGTTACATTTGCTGTCCCTCAAATGACTTGGTGATCTTGTTAAAATACAAGGGTGGGCATGGGAGTCTGCACTTCTAACAAGCTTCCCGGTGCTCTTTAACCATCACTGCTGGCTGAAGACCTCACTTGGAGTAACAAATTTTCTGGATAAATGGTGACCTATACTTGTGTAATGCACAGGAACTCCCATTAAGTTACTATCCCCTAGATCAGGATAGGGAGGGAATGTCAGATCCTCGGCCCATATAAAGCTCTCAAAATAATGTAATCTGGACCTGCTAAGGCACTAGTGGCGAGTGAATTAAATGTTTGACCAAAAATAGCAGGCTAATTTTTAAGTTGATAATTTTGTATGGCCCAAGAATAATGTTATAAGTATCCAAATGGCCCTTGGCAGAAAAAAGGGTTCCGCACCCCTGCTCTAGATAATGTAGCCCGCCTGTGTATACCTGAACTTGGTCAACCTGCTTTTGGAGGATGGAGTGATAAGAAATGTCCTAGTCCTTGATTCTGACCCTAAACTTTGAAGAGTGAAGAGGGGACAAGGAGGACAAAGGTTTTTATCTTGGCCAATCGGTTCTATAAGTGATTTTCCTGGTCTGTTCACAGAAAAAGTGGAGACTTTTCCCCTCCAATACATACAGTTCACAAGCCAGTTGTCTGAAATAAACCTAACGTGAATGTTGTGGCTTGGTGACATTTCATGAGTCCTTAAGACTTTTGCCTTAAATTGGGGGATGTGGAACCCAGTCATTCATTATCTTCAAGGTGACAGGTGATAATTCCAAATGGCATTTTAAGTAAACTTTTCTTTATGACTACCCGAATATTATTCGTCCTTCTATTTAGCTGTCATTAATTATACAATTTCTATATATGATACTTTACATACATAATTTTATTTAACTTTTCCCAAACAATATTTCATAATAGAGATCATTTCCTGCATTTCACAGATGAAGAAATTGAGGCTCAGAGAGGTTAAGTAATTTTCCCAAGGTCACCTAGCTATGAAAAAGCAGAGGCAAGCTAGGAAACCAGAAGAATCTGACTTTACCTCTCTCTTTCTACTGCCTCTGTGCTGTCCTGTAGATAAAAAGAATAATTATTTTAAAATTAAGAAGAATTATTCATTATTTAAAACAAATTCAAATTTGAATCAATTGACATCCTTGATGTGAATTTACGACAGAGCTAATGAAACTTAAGTTTCAAGGATTCCTCACAAAAGTTCCTTCCAGAGATCCAAGATGGCTGCGCCCAGGTGAACACCTAGCCGCAGCCGCACACAACAATTTCAATAAAATACAACTAAAATATAAAACGGACATTGCCCAGAACTACAGGAAGGTTGACTGACTGGAAATTGTACAGCGAGAAGCAAGGAGAAAACCAGAAGGAGGTGCGGAGGAGCTGGAAAAGCCAAGGTACGGAGACGCGGAGACGCGGCGCGGAGAGGACAGAGCCGGAGAGGAGGGAGGCCGAGTGCCTGGCGGGCGTTCCCTAGCGGAAAGGAGATAAAACTCCGACTGTGCTGGGCCCCCGACTGCTCTGATCCCCAGTTTTAAGCCAGACCCCGGGGACTCAGGCTCAGCCATAGGGAGCCGGGCTGTAAGGCAGAACCCCGGGGAGCAGTGAAAGGAGGTCCCGGAGGCGCGCACACTGCGCGCAGAGAAGGGACGATCGGCTGTGCCCCGAGATTGCTCTGACGGGAAGGAGACTGGGGCTCCAGACTGCTCTGAACGCCACCTCCAACTCCACTTCCAACTGAACTGAACCCCAGTTCCGGGCTCATTGTGGGAGAGCATAGACTGTTTGGCAGCAGGCGAAAATCGAGGGCACCTTTCTCTCAGAGGCGCCGGCAGCGAGCACTGAAGGACCCGCATAGGGCGGGGCTGACAGAAGCCAAGGCTGTAGGCTCCACCCTGAAATCCCGCCCCATCTGTAACTGCGAAATGCGACAACAAAATAGATCACAAACGAAAGAAATGGAGGACAAAAAGCGTCTGGATATAGAGTTCAAATCTACGCTTACAAGGTTTTTCAAGAATTTCCTAGAAAAGATGGATAAGGCCTATGAGGATATGAAAAGAGATCAACTAGAATTAATAAGGAGTCAACAAGAAATGATAAGGGATCAACAAGAAATAAAGAATACATTGTCTGAAATAAAAAATATTTTACAGAGTCCTAAAAACAGAAGGGAAGATCGCAAGAATCAAGTCAAAGATTTGGAACATAAAGAGCCAGAAGACACTCCTCCACAGAAGCTAGAAGGCAAGAGAATCCAGAAAATTGAAGATAATGTAAGAAACCTCTGGGACAACTTCAAGCGAACCAACATCAGAATTATGGGGGTCCCAGAAGATGAGAGAGAGCAAGATATCGAAAACATACTGAAAGAAATAGTGATAGAAAACTTCCCCCATCTGGTAAAAGAATTAGACTTACAAGTCCAGGAAGCACACAGAACTCCAAACAAAAGGAATCCAAAGAGGACCACACCGAGACACATC